TCTCTCTCTCTCTCTCTCTCTCTCTCTCTCTCTCTCTTTCCTTCCATTCTTTTCTTTCTTTCTTTTTTTAATATTTGTGAACATGGGTATGGGAAGATGGGATACATTCTGAGAAATGTATCGTTAGCCATTTTCATCATGGTGTGAACATAGAGTACTTATATCAACTAAGCATCTATGGTACAATAGGTGATGTAATCTTAGGGACTCATCATTGTGTGTGGTCCATTATTGACTGAGATGTCATTCTATGGCATAACACTGTCTATAAAGAGATATTTTGGGGATGACACCCAAGTGCAAGCTAAAATAATTGATGTTTAATGTGTATATGCTTATAGACACAGCCTGAACATAACTGTATAGAATATGTTTAGTACATCTGTATTTTGATTCTAGTGCATCATGTGAAGTCACGTGTGGAATTTTCTATTGTGGCATCTAGATGACACTTACAAGCTTGTAGGTTTTGGAGCATTTCAGGTTTGAGTTTTTGGATTAGATATATAACCTGTGATAACGATGTCTGCTTTTCAGGAGTGTCATGACAATAAAATAGATTATACCTTTAAATGTTTGATTTGTTGTTTGTTTGTTTTTGTTTGTGTAGCCTTGCCTGTCCTAGAGCTAGCTCTGGCCTCAAACTCGCAGAGTTCCATCTGCCTCTGAGTGCTGGGATTAAAGGTGTATACCACCACTGCCCGGCTAATGAAGATTTTTTTTTAAATTTAAAGAAGTGTGTATGAGCCGGGCGGTGGTGGCACACGCCTTTAATCCCAACACTCGGGAGGCAGAGGCAGGCGAATCTCTGTGAGTTCGAGGCCAGCCTGGGCTACCAAGTGAGTTCCAGGAAAGGCGCAAAGCTACACAGAGAAACCCTGTCTCAAAAAACCAAAAAAAAACAAAAAAAGTGTGTATGTGTGTGTGTGTGTGTGTGTGTGTGTGTGTGTGTGTGTGTATGTATGTATGTATGCAGGCACATGAGTGCAGGTATTTGCAGAGGTAGAAGGAGGCATTGGATTTCCTCGAGTTATAGGCTGATAACGGCTGGTAGGCTAATATGTGGGCCACCTGATAGAGGTGCTGGGTCAAACCCTGGTCTTCTGCAAGAGCTGCAAGCCTCTGAACAGCTGAGCTGTCTCTCCAGTCCTTGATGTACTGCTTCATAGTGCTGCAGTTATGATTTTACACTGCTTTATTAGATAACTTCATTCCTTTCTTCTAGATTTTAACTACCATGTGAGCAGTGAGTATTTTTTTAAACCACTGTATTCCTGCTACAGAGTAGGTGTTTAAGGCAATAGTTGCTGAAAAGGATGAATGCATATAAGCTAAGAAGAAAGACATTTAAGTTAATCATTAATGCATTTTGACTGTATTAGATAAGAAGTACTTCTAAATTAGCATCCTTTTCACTCCATCAGATCTTGTATTTGCTCTCTCCTGGTGAATTGCTACTGAGAGAGCTCAGTTTCCACAGCTCGACTGTTTGCTTTCTGGGGAAAAGAGACCTTATGCTCATTTTGTGTTCCTAATTTGTAGTAGAGCACCTTGAATATCTTAAGAAGTTGACAAATATTGTGATCTCACTGTAATAATCTCTTTACAGGAAAGGCTGGAGCTCTCTAAAGTACCTCTTACTCAAGCTACACGTGGGCCTCAGGTCCAGCTGCCACCTTCTTCCAATAGGTAATTAATATGGCAAACAGAATTCTATAATTCAAGCAGGTACTTAAACAGACCATGCCCTCAACTTGAACAAAGGCATTAGGTGATAGTATAATATTTAGTAATGTTAGGGATATAAATAAATTACAGTACTATATAGTTGTAAAAAAACAAGCTATAGTTTTTTGAGGCACTTTTTTCAATCATTATGATATTAGGAGTTTAGTTTTGATATGTTTCTTTTTATTTTTAAGTTCATAAAACCTTTATGTGGTTTGAGGGTGGCTATGCAAAAATAGGGCCTCAAAAGCTTATAATTTTCTTTTTACAGGTAGCTTTAACCTTCTGATCAGAGGTGCTGTTAATAAAACTGATTGATTCATTGATGTATCTTCTAATTATGTTGATAACCTTAATACTTTAAAAGAAATTGGTAACAGTTGTATTGATTCCTTGGTTGGTAGCAGCAGTATGACTAGAGTGATAAACAGACTATAGTATGGGGCCCAGTAATAGCCATCTCCCTTTCTTTCTGGGGAGACAGTCTCCTATAGCCAGGTTGGACTTAGACTTGGTTTGGTGACCTTGAGCTCTTGATTCTCCTACGTCCACCTTAGTGCTGGAATTAGAAGCGTGTACTACCATGCCTGACTCATTTCTTTTTCGCTTCTCTTGCCTCCTTCTCTTCCTACCTGCTCTTTTCCCTACCCCTTGGAGTGTGTATTTGTGTGTGTGTGTGTGTGTGTGTGTGTGTGTGTGTGTGTGTGTGTGTGTGTGTATTGCTGGGGATCCAGCCTAGGCTCTCAGACCTGCTAGATAAGTCCTCTACTGACTGAGCTACATCTCCAAGAGCAAGCTGCTTCCAAGGAAACACTCCAGTGCGTTCTGCTGCACACAGAAGATTGTGAACTCTTGGTCTGCTGTGTATCAAATAGTTTTTTCTGGTTTTAAGAAAAGTTCTTGCAATATCACCTTTATAAATGGCTTTTGGTTTACTCCTGTTTTGCAGATTCTTACAGCCAGTACAGAAAATAGACATGAATCTCACAGATCTTTTGGGAGAACTTCAGCGAGACCCGTGGCCTGTGCCACAAGGGAAGAGACCTTTGCGTTCCTCAGGAGTGGCCCTTTCCATAGCTGTAGGACTACTTGAGGTAGTAATGATGAAAATTTGGTTTTGAAATGTAAGAGTCCTTGTGTGTGTTGCACACATGAGTGTGTGTGTGCACATGTGGAATAGTAAAGATGTTAAGCCAAACACCGTGGTGGTGGTTGGTGTAAAGGTCTATTCTTTCCTCCTTTCTTATTTCTTTTTATCTTTTTCTTCCTTGCTCCACTTTCATCTTTCTCCTCCTTTTCTTCTGTCTCACTATATAATACAATTAGTGCTGAACCTGAACTGACGGCCTTCCTCCGACCTTAGACCTCTGAGTGTAGGACTATCGCTGTGCACCACCATATGTGGCTCTTCTCTTCTCATTCAGGAATTGGTGTACAATACTTTTTTTTTTTTTAAACTCCACATTTCAGGCAATTCTGTGGCAGAAACAGCTGTGTGTTCTATCAATTCGAGTTTGACACTGTTTACTAGAAGTAGCATTAGTTCTCACAGATTAAGGGCTCGTTTCCATGAACAGACTGTTCACTTCAAATTCCAGCTAAAGTAGTAGTTTATTACTTGTACTTCTGTCTATATGTTGGGTATCTATAGGTTGGATTAATTTGCTATAGTGGCTGGCTCAGAGAACTTAGGGAAACCCTTTACTTATAGAGAGTTACAAAAGACACAACCTGATAGGAGAAATGCATACAGTTGCAACATGAATGGGCATGTCCCCTCTGCACACCACACACTAGAAAGCCGCATGAGTTCTGCCACCCAGAAACTCCAAATCCAGTCCATATGATTTTAAAAAGGAATTTATTTTTATTATTTTAAATTCCGTGTGTGTGTGTGTGTCTGTGTGTGTGTATCTGTGTGCATGTGTGTGTGCGTCTGAGTATAAGTGCCCTCAGAGGTCAGAGGCAGAGCTGGAGTTATGGGTCTTTGTGAGCCACCTGACATAGATGCTGGGAATCAGACTTGGTTCTTCTGGTAAGTCATCTCTCCACCCTGAATTTTTTTATTTTATAATTTAATTTAATTTTACATATCAGCCATGAATTCCCCTGTCCTTTCCCCCTCCCCCCCCACCGCCTTCCCCCCAGCCCACCCTCCAATTTCCATCTCCTCCAGGGCAAAGACTCCCCTGGGGATTCAGCTCAACATGGTAGATTCAGTCCAGGCAGGTCCAGTCCCCTCCTCCCAGGCTGAGCGAAGTGTCCCTGCATAAGACCCAGGTTCCAAACAGCCAGTTCATGCACTAAGGACAGGTCCCAGTCCCACTGCCTGGGTGCCTCCCAAACAGTTCAAGCTAATCAACTGTCTCACTTATCCAGAGGGCCTGATCCAGTTGGGGGCTCCTCAGCTATTGGTTCATAGTTCGTGTGTTTCCATTAGTTTGACTATTTGTCCCTGTACTTTTTCCAATTTTGGTCTCATCAATTCTTGCTCATATAAACCCTCCTCTTTCTCGCCAATTGGACTCCTAGAGCTCTACCTGGGGCCTGGCCGTGGACCTTGGCATCTACTTCCCTCAGTCATTGGATGGGGTTTCTGGCACAACAGTTAGGGTGTTTGGCCATCCTATCACCAGAGTAGGTCAGTTCAGGCTTTCTTTCAACCATTGCCAGTAGTCTATTGTGTAGGTATCTTTGTGGATTTCTGGGGAACTCTCTAGCACTTTGCTTCTTCCTATTCTCATGTGGTCTTCACTTATTATGTTCTCCTATTTCTTGTTCTCCCTCTGTGTTCTTGATCCAGCTGGGATCTCCTGCTCCCCTAAGCTCTCTTTCCCTCGACCCTTGCCTTTCATTACCCCCACTCATGTCCAGGTTGTTCATATAGATCTCATCCATTTCTCTGTCATTGGGCAATCCCTATGTCTTTCTTAGGGTCCTGTTTTCTAGGTAGCCTCCCTGGAGTTGTGAGTAGCAGTCTAGTCATCTTTGTTTTACATCTAGCATCCTCTTATGAATGAGTACATACCATGTTTGTCTTTCTGAGTCTGGGCTACCTTACTCAGGATGAATTTTTCTAGATCCATCTATTTGCCTGCAAACCTCATGATGTCATTGTTTTTCTCTGCTGAGTAGTATTCCATTGTGTATATGTACCACATTTATCCATTCTTCAGTTGAAGGGCATCTAGGTTGTTTCCACGTTCTGACTATTACAAACAATGCTGCTATGAACATAGCTGAGCAAGTGCCCTTGTGGTATGATTGAGCATTCCTTGGGAATATGCCAAGAGTGGTATAGCTGGGTCTTGGGGGAGATTGATTCCCAATTTTCTAAGAAAGCGCCATATTGATTTTTGAAGTGGCTGTACAAGCTTGCATCAGCAAGCATCAGCAGTGGAGGAGAGTTCCCCTTGCTCTACATCCTCTCCAGCATAAGCTGTCTTTAGTGTTTTTGATTTTAGCTATTCTGACAGGTGTAAGGTGGTATCTCAGAGTCATTCCTACTTTCTCTTCTATCAGGTTCAGAGTAACTGGATTTATCTGATTTTTTTTTAAAGATTTATTTGTTTTTATTTAGTATATGAGTGTTTTGCCTGCATGTATGTCTGTACACCCTGTGCATGCCTGGTTGCCCATGGAGGTCAGAAGGCATTGGTTCTCTGGAACTGGAGTTACAGATGATTGTGAACTGCTGGGTGGGTGCTGAGAACCAAGCCTGGGTCTTCTGAGAGAACAGCAAGTGCTTTTATCACTGAGCCATCTCTCCAGGGCCCCTGCACCCCACGATTGGTTGTGGGAGCTTCACTAAAGAGGGGAGATTGACTGCATCGCTGGCTGGTGGTGTTCAACTTGTAATTTTTCTTTATTCTTGAAATCTATTAGTAGGATGATTGTTGTAGATAATTTGTTCTAGTACTTGTTGGGCCCATGTGATTTATTCCTGTAGCACTTTCCTGGATTATATTTATTAATTTTCTTTCCCTCCTTCCTTCCTTTTTTTTTTGAGACAAGGTTTCACTGTGTTATGCTAGTTGGCCTAGAAAATTATGTCACAGAGATCTGCCTGCCTCTGCCTCCTGAGTTCTGGTATTAAAGATGTGCACTACTATCCTAGTTAGGGTTATTATTGCTGTAGTGAAACACCATGACCAAGAGCAACTTGAGTAGGAAAGGGTTTATTTCACTCACAGTTCCATATAACAGTTTATTATCAAAAGCAGTGAGGGCAGGAACTCAAGCAGGGCAGGAACCTGGAAGCAGGAGCTGATGCAGAGGTCATGGAGGGGTGCTGCTCACTGGCTTGCTCCTCATGGCTTGCTTAGCCTGCTTTCTTATAGAACCCAGGACCACCAGCCCAGGGGTATCCCTACCCACAGTGGGCTGGTCCCTTCCACATCAATCACTAATTAGGAAAATTCTCTACAGGCTTGCCTACAGCCAGATCTTATGGAGGCAATTCTCAAATTAGTCATCAGTAGCTTGTTTCAAGTTCATGTAAAAACTAGCCAGCACAGCTCCCATGTCTGGCTCTTTTTTTTTTTTTTTTTGAACAGAAGAGTTTATTTTATCTTATTATTCCAGAGAGAGAGAGAGAGAGAGAGAGAGAGAGAGAGAGAGAGAGAGAGAGAGAGAGAGAGAGAGACCATAATGGCTGAGGATGAATGGCAGCAGGCAGCCAGAGCAGGAAACTGAGAGATCACATATTCAGTTACAAGCAGAGAGAGTGAACTGGCCAAGAGGACTAAGTTGTGAGCTTCTAAAGATACATTTCTTTAGCAAGGCTGCAACTCCACATAGCCTCCCCAAACAGCACTACCAGCTTCAGAGCAAATATTCAAATGCCTGAGTCTGTGGGATCTTTTCTAATGGAGACTATCACAAACTCATTACTGTATTTCCTCTTGATTTAATTGTGATACATCATACGAAACTACAAATTCGTCCATTTTGTAGAATAAAGGTTTTTAAGATGTCCAAATGACTACATGAATTTCATTGGTATCTATGGTAATATATTTTTCTATTTTAAATAAATTAAAAATCTTCTTCTTCTTCTTCTTCTTCTTCTTCTTCTTCTTCTTCTTCTCCTCCTCCTCCTCCTCCTCCTCCTCCTCCTCCTCCTCCTCCTCCTTGATTGAGGCCATGTGGGCTTTTCCCGCCCTATGTTAACATGTCTGTTGGTGTCTTCCTTGCTCAGGACATGTTTAGACAGCCATGTTGATGAGACTTCGTTGGGTGTAGCTTCTCTGACATTTCTAGGAGACACAATCTTTTAAAAAAGATTTTATATATTTTTTAACTTAAATTTTTGAATTCATTTTACATACCATCCACAGATCCCCCCTCTCATCCCTCCTCCCACTCCTCCGCCTAGAATACCTCCTCCTTCAAAAGGGTAAGGCCCCCCATGAGGAGTCAGCAAGGCCTAGTACATTCAGTTGAGGCAGGTCCAAGCCCCTCCCCTCTGCACCAAGACTGAGCTAGGTGTCCCATCATAGGGAATGGGATCCCAAAAGCCAGCTCATGCACCAGGGATGGATCTGGTCCCACTGCCAGGGGTGCCTCAAACAGACCAAGTCACACAACAGAAGACACAATCTTACGGCAAACTTCCTGTTCCTCTGGCTCATTAAAATTTTCTTCTCCCTCCTCTGCTATGATCCCTGAGCCTCAGGTGCAGGAGGTATGGTGTAGATGTGTCAGTTGGGACTGACTCTACCACTCTGCATTTTGATCCTTTGTGGTTTTCTGTAATGGTCTCTGCTGCAAGAGGAGTTTCCTTGATGGGGGTTGAAGACTACACTTCCCTGGTTAGACCCTGGAGAAGAATTTCTTTTTAATTAATAGTGTGTGTGATTACGAGCATGTCTGTGTGTGTGTGTGTGTGTGTGTGTGTGTGTGTGTGTGTGTGTGTAAAGGGGGTTAGGAGGGAGGGAGAGAAAGAGTGAGAGAGTTCATATGTACCTTGTGTATGCAGGAGCCCCTGGAAGACAGAAGAGGGTGTCATGTTCTCTAGAACTATGATCGCAGGGAGTTGTGAGCTGCCATGTGGTGCTGGGAATTTATTTGAGACAGGAGTGTATATACCTGCTTTTTGTTATCCTTTGCATTTTTTGAATGAGTTCCTTTCCTCCAATAGTGTACTTTCCCCAACACTGGTGCTCGGATCATGATGTTCATTGGTGGTCCTGCTACCCAGGGGCCTGGAATGGTGGTTGAAGATGAATTAAAGACTCCAATAAGATCCTGGCATGACATTGAAAAGGATAATGCCAAATATGTTAAAAAGGGAACTAAGGTAATTCTTTATTCAGTTGTTTTCTTGTGAATTGTTTTCTATTTTTGTAACTTTACATTTTTAGGGGTGGTTTGCAAAGGTATATTTCACTAATGATGATTCTTGAATCTTTGTATTGTTTCTGCTTGTTGATGCCCTTGTTATTATTATTGTTATTGTTATTTTTGCTATTTTTAGTTCAGACTTTTAGTTTAATTTTGCTGTACTGTTTGATAATTTTTGATAGTCATTGTTATATTTTTAACAATAATTGATGTCATATTTTTGACACTATGAGTGCTTTTTTCTGCTAATGAGTTTCCCATTTGAGCTCAGAAATTTTATTTATTTTTTTGTTAAAGCTGCAAAAAGATGCTTTAGATTGGCTTATCTTCTGTTTTTTTCCCTCTTTTCAGATGTCTTTGTTACTTGCTTGTGGATTTAGCTAGGAAAAAGAGTTTTGTGTTGTTCCCTTATTTTTGTGTGATTGTGTTGAAGAAGAGAATATATACCTCTCTTTAGTTTTGTTTCACTTAATAATATATCTAAAAATAATGGCTTTTAAGTCAAAGAAAGTTAAAATATCATACTTTGTTTATTTATTTATTTATTTATTTGAGACAGAATCTTTCTTTTTTTATTTTACAATACTATTCAGTTCTACATAATAGCCACAGATTCCCTTGTTCTCTCCCTTCCTGCCCCCCTCCCCTTCCCCCCAGTCCACCCCCGGAGACAGAATCTTTCTATATAGTGCAACCCATGATGCTCCTATTGGAGCCTCCCCAGTGATGGAATTTCTGACATGTACCACATGTCTAGCTGGAAATGAGACTTCTAGAAGTCATTTTACTTCTAGAAGTCATTTTATTATTTTTATAAAACTATATTTTAGGAAATTAAATGAGACAAGATGATCTGTAAATTATGAGTTGTTCTTTTACTCTTAAATTATTTGATCTGTTAATAGGAAAAAGATTTCTTGGACAGTTAGGTTATATATTTGATTTTATTAAAAATCTTTTGTAGCACTTTGAAGCACTGGCCAATCGAGCTGCTACGACTGGGCATGTTATTGATATCTACGCATGTGCGTTAGATCAGACAGGTCTCCTGGAGATGAAGTGCTGTCCTAACCTTACTGGGTATGTATGTGCATATCTAATAACAACTGCTTAGAGTGTAAACCAACACTGACAGCTTAGGAGAGGACACACTCATGGTCTTCTGCTTTGTGGCAACATTGCTGACAGCTCTGCTGTGTCTTCTTTGGAGCTCATGTTACACTTTTTTTCTGAAAAGACAGGCTTATAAAGGCACAAGTTCTTTGGAAAAAGTTTATTCTAAAGTTTCTTAGTTGTTTTAGTAATGTTTTTGAGATAGCACATTGTAGCAGGCTTTCTTTTGGTCTACCAACCATGGTGGAGACTCCCAAACCATGACCCAGAGACTTCTGATTAATTATGAATGGTTGGCCTAGCTTAGGCTCATTTCAGCTTAGCTCTTTTAATTTAAATTAAGCTGTTTCTCTTTATCTACTTTTTGCCTCAGGGCTTTTTCCTTTTCTTTCTGTATGTCCTACTTTTCCTGCTTCTTCTGTGTCTGTCTGTCTGGCAGCTGCCTGCCTGGCTGGCCCCGGGCGTGTGCCACTTTTTTCCCCTCGTTCTCTCCTTCTTCTCTCTTCTCCTGAGCCTAGATTTCTCCTCCTGTTTATTCTCTCTCCTGCCAGCCCTGCCTGTCCTTTATCTGCCTAGCTATTGGCTATTCAGTTCTTTATCAGGTGTCTTAGGCAGGCAAGGCAAACTAGCAATATATCCTTTCACAATTAAACAAATGCAGCATAAAAAAATGTAACACATCTTTGCCTAGTTAAAATAATATTCTGCAACAGCACATCATGAAATGTATCCATTTAAAATGTTCGATGAGGTTTTAGTACGTTCACAAGTTATATGACCATTACTGTGATTGAATTTAGAACATTTGTCTGATTCTGGAGAGACTGCCTGTTACCTGTTACTTTCCATTCCTCTCTCTTTTCTCACCCCATCCTCTTGCCCTAGGCGATACTACTCGCCTCCTCTGCATGTTTCATGTAAGTGGAGTAATAAGTGGTGTTGGCCATTGACTTCTTTAAAAAAAATATGTTTATGAATGTCTTGCCTATGTATGTATGTGTGCTGTGTGTATGTGTGGTATCCAAGGAGGTTAGAACAGAGAGTTGGATCCCCTGGAATTGCAGTTACAGAGGATATGAGCCACCTTGTAGGTGCTGGGAACTGAACTGGGATCTTCTTATAATTTTTGGTTGTGAGCCTAGCCTTTAACGGCTGAGCCATCTCTCCAGCCCAAACTGGGATCTTCTACAAGAGAAACCAGTGCTCTTGACCACTCAACCATCTCTCCAGCCCACCACTGGCTTCTTTTATTCAGCATGCATTTTAATTTATGCACATTTGCGATGTGCCAGTGTTTCTTTTTATTGCTGAAAAAAGTGAAGTAGGGGTTCAGCTTCATTCAGTGTTCTCTGAGACATATACCTAGGGAAATGCAAACAACTAGGAGCTCAGTGGGGAAAATACTAGAAGGTAAAGGCCATGGTCATCTGTGCTAACCATTACAGATACAAAATAATGCAGGGTGCAGAGTACGTAATTCAGCATTGTAAAGGTCATTGAGAATCTTACTAAAAACAGTTGACCTAGAGTGAATTAGAAAGACAACAGGAGGAGAGAGTTGGAAGAAGCTGATAGGGACAAGAGCTTCTCAGGTATTAGCTTGTACAAAAGCTAGGGTTTCTTGTGAAAAAACCAGTGCTCTTTAGTATGTTTGAGATGGGGTTGTTGTTGGTGTTAATGTTGCTGGACCAAGGACCACACTTTGAGAAGTAGAAGTATAGACAACTTTTGTGGATAGTTACTGAGAAAAGGAGCAGTCATTAATGCATGATGCATTATCAAGTATTTTACAACACGGTTAATTTTAGATGATGCGTGTGGAAGGAGAAAATCTGGACCAGTGAATGGCTCAGTGGGTGAAAGCCCTGATGGCAAGCCTGAGGCCCTGAGGTGGATACTTGGGACCCACATGGTGGAAGGAGAGAACTGGTACCTGGAAGTTGTTCTCAGACCTTCACACACACACACTGTGTTGTGTGCATACCCATATACATAACATAAATAAATGTAATTATATTTTAAATGAATTATTAATAGAAATTGAGTTAATTACATTTGTTTTGGGGGAATGTTTTTACTATTTGTTCGTAGTCTAATTATTTTTTTCAGGTAATACATGAGCCCATTTAATTGTGTTATGTATGTTGTGTTTGCCTTTTTCCTGTGCAGAGGATACATGGTAATGGGTGACTCTTTCAACACTTC